GTGTCACTGGTACGGCTGTTGTTACTGTTGCTGTTTCATCTTTAAAGTCAAATGTCAAAATTCTGAAGAGTCTCATTTATTCCTTGATTGAATTTATAAGTTAAGGGCTGCTGTATGTACGTTTCACAAAAATGCCCTTTGCTTAAAAAAGGTCTGTGTCGGGGGTAAAACCTTTGGTTTAGACTAAGAGAGGCTAGTGCGGTAGCCCAGCTTCCGGCATAATCTGTCACTCAGAAACCTTCCGGTTGATTCGATCTCCATGGCGAGGATCCTTCGGCTTCTTCACGTCCGCCTGCATAATCCTCTTCTCTGTTCTGCCCAGGACGCTTACTGAAATTTGACTTAAGAAATGCTCATGAAAGAAACTTTTCCTTGAAACCACCAGTAAAGACTTCATGTATGCATTCCACAGAAACTTCCTGCGCTCCTGCAATGAACTTGGCATTGTGGTGAAACGCTTTTACCTATTGTCCATGACCTAGTGAATCTTCCCAACAGCCCCAGGAGGTAGGATGTCAGGTAGCTTGCCCAGGGGTGTGTGCTCTTGGCCTTTGGTACCAAGAACCCTCCTCCTTTCTGAAACGCTTTTACCTATTGTCCATGACCTAGTGAATCTTCCCAACAGCCCCAGGAGGTAGGATGTCAGGTAGCTTGCCCAGGGGTGTGTGCTCTTGGCCTTTGGTACCAAGAACCCTCCTCCTTTCTGATAGTGGCTTGCTGTTCTGTCACAAGAAAGTTTTCACGTCTGCCTTAGCTGCCCAGCAGCTTCCCTGCACAGTGTCGCCGTAGCTTCAGCCCGGCTTTTCCTTTGTTGCATTGGTGCCCCTCCCTCTGGTGACTCTACTTTTTCTTGTTTGTGTTAGCTTTATTTAATTCTTTGGAATAGGTTTATTCTAAGCCATTCAAAACTTGGGCAAATTTTGAAGACTGACATTTTACATTTCTAAAAAATTTTTATTATTTGAGAGCACAGGTAGCAGAGGGAAAGGAAGAAGCAGGCTCCCCCCTGAGCAGGGAACCCAACACAGGGCTCAATCCCAGGGCCTGAGATCATGACCTGAGCCGAAGGCAAACGCTTAACTGACTGAGCCACCCAGGCGCCCCCATATTTTACATTTTATACTAAAAAATTTTACATTTGTCTGAGTGTGAAACTTAGAAGGGTGGGCAGGCAAAAACCTTCTTGAAAAAATAATGATTAACGTGTAGTATTTGGGGGCACCTGGGGGGCTCACTTGCTTCCCTTGCTTGTGTGGCTGCACACACACACTTTTTCTCTCTCTGACAAATAAATAAATAAAAACCGTTAAAAAAGTGTGTAGTATTTGATTCTAGGATTTTTGGGGGGTGCTGAAAAAGGTCATGGACAGCTTTCAGGTGTGGTTTTCCTTTTATTTTTATTTTTTTCTGGTTTTCCTTTTAAATTAAGAATTTGGGTGCTAATACAAGTCATATTTATTCACATTTTAATTTTTGTTTTTAACTCTTAAAACTAAAACAAATTAAAAGTCCATTGCTAAGGTGAGTTTTCTAATTTTTTCTTTGCAGATAATGATGCTGCTTGAACTGAACAATTAAGGTAACATTTATGACTTATGTAATAATGCTTTTCTTATTCAGAAATCTTCATCAAATTTAGCTGAATTGTTAAAGTCATGTTTTAACCTTGGTGAGGATTTTCATTATTGCCCGTGGGCAATCATTCCGAACTGTGGAGTATAAAAGACTTCACATTATATTTTAAGGTAAGTTTTGAAAATAACGGGATACCTTTATTCATTCATCTTATACTGAAGTTTGAAAGGATTTTACTGTTTTTAGAAAAGAAAAAGGGAGTATTTTTAATGTCTCTAAGCCAGTTATTGGTTATATTAATGTATAGATTGCCTGAAGCTAGCTTGTGTTGGATTCAGTGGAAAATAAGATGGTTTATATACTTATCTGTATCACCATGTATGTCTATATACAACTCTACAGTAAGAATCAGAGAAATGTTTGTATATATACTGTTTTAGCAAATGCCAGCATCCTTGCAAATAGGGTATCTGTGAGGCCCCACATTATAGATGGGAATTGTAAAAAATCATATCCCACTTCCTGGCGCATGGATCTGGAGTACCCCAGATTTGTTTAATTAGCACAATGGCACCAACTAGGAAGTCCCACATTATTACGAAAAAAGAAAAGAACTGTGTCAAAGTATCCTGATAAAATTATAAATGAAAAATCTCAAGGAATGTCTGAGACTTAATTTGGTAGATATATGCAGCTAGTCACCTGGGTGGAGGTTACTAGATTGCATAATCTGGTCTGTAATTTGTGAAGATCCTAACAATTCAGTGCTGTGCAGTAAAATTTTGTGTCTGGTCAGGTAGTTAGAGCTTACTCAAATACTGGAATTAATGATACACTAGAATCACGCACATCTCTTACATCCTTAGAACACATAATGGAACTTTTGTGTTCTGAAAGAAACAACCGTGGGATGGGGGCTGCTGGGGAAGGTTCCTGGTGTTGGTGATGACCATGCTGAGTAGGTCCGAGGGCTCAGCAGTTTGTTGTTAGGTGAGGTGGGTGAGGTAGGATCACCAGCAGAGGAAGCAGCATGTGCCAGGGCCAAGGCCAGGGAGAGTGTGAGAGCTGAGCAAGTAGAACTGAATTTCAGTCCCATCTGACTGTGTATTTCCAAATGACTGAAGTCAGAAATGGGGAGCAGGGCTAAGGTGTCTTGTCTTAGAAGTTGGACTTAGATCTAAATCTCTGGAGAACCAGTGAAGAGCATTAAGGATAAGGCCTTAAACCAGTGCTTTTTCCCCATGTCATAATAGCTGGCGTGCATTTTTGGTTTTGTTATTCTTTTTTTTTTTTTTTTTTTTTTGGTATGAATTGAAATTGTTTAAGCAAGATTGCAAAGTTAAAGGAACAGATTTATCAAGTTGTTACCTATGTCAAGAGATTAAGGGGTTTGGGATTGTTTCAGTTTCCTCTCTGACATGAATTTAGTTTGGGCATTGAGCAGAGCAATCCCATGAAGTCAGAAAAGTCTCCAAGAGGTAAGTACTTTGATTGCCTCACAGTTTTGTTGGCCATTTAAATTGTATCAATTATAGTAGTAATTATAGCAGTAGTAATTTAAAAGAGCCAATAAGAGTTATAGGCAAGTTCTACAGGTTTTACCAGAATAGTGTAGCATGTAGTTGGAAATGCAGAATTCTTACACATTACAGGGAGTATTTAATTCCATTATACTGGGTCACATTTGGATATAACCAGGATATAGCCAGATAGCGTTTACTGCAGTGAATTTCCAAATCCATCCTAGTCAGTGTAACAGTGATTTTTCATGTCTCATTACCTTCCCATTGAGGGAGTCATAATATATCCACTTTCATGTTAATTACCATTTTTGATCTAGAACTGTGCTGGCCACTACAGCTGTTGCCTCTTTAAATGTGGCTATTCAAATTAGTTACACTTAAATAAAATTTAAAATTCAGTTCCTCATTGCCTCCAGCCACATGTCAGATGCTCAGTAGTCACATGTGGTTAGTGGCTGCCATATTGGACAGTGCAGATGGAGGACATTTCCGTCATTACAGAAAATTTATTAGTGCTACTCCAAAGGTTTTCTCCTTTTACAAATTTTAATGTATTTAAAAGCCATCTAATAGTGAAATATTTACAGATTAAATGATATAATTTGATTCAGAATAACTGGGGAGAATGGGGAGTTATGGAAGAAATAAGATTTGCCATAAGATGATAATTGGTGAAACTAGGTTGGGGATCCATGGGGGGTTTCATTGTATTATTCTCATTATTCAGAAATTTTGTGTATGTTTGAAATTTTCTATAATAAAGAATAAAAACAGAAGCCGTTTTTTCTTTTTTTAAGATTTTATTTGTCAGAAAGAGAGAGAGAAAGCACACAAGCCTGCCTCTAGGCAGGCAGAGGTGGAGAGAGAGGCGGAGAGAGAGGCAGGCTCCCCGCCGAGCAAGGAGCCCGATGCGGGACTCGATCCCAGGACCCCGGGATCATGACCTGAGCCGAAGTCAGCGGCTTAACCCACTGAGCCACCCAGGCGTCCCTAAAAACAGAAGTCTTAAATAGGAACAGTGCTCCTGTTGGCACTTAAAAGTGGCCATCTGCGCCTGGGTGGCTCAGTGGGTTAAAGCCTCTGCCTTCGGCTTACGAGCCCCACATCAGGCTCTCTGCTCAGCAGGGAGCCTGCTTCCTCCTCTCTCTGCCTGCCTCTCTGCCTCCTTGTGATCTCTGTCAAATAAATAAATAAAATCTTTAAAAAAAAAAAATAAAAGTAGCCATCTGGGGGTTTCCTGGGTGGCTCAGTTGGTTAAGTGCCTTTGCCTTGGGTCGTGATTCCAGGGTCCTGGGATGAGTCCTACATCGGGTTCCCTGCTCAGCAAGGAGCCTACTTTCTCCCGCTGCTGCTGCCCCTGCTTGTACTCACATGCTCTCTGCCCCCTCTTCTCTCAAACTCTCTGGTAAATAAATAAATAAAATCTTTAAAAAAACAAAAAAACGGGCACCTGTGTGGCTCAGTGGGTTAAGCCTCTCTCTTTAGCTCGGGTCGTGATCCCAGGGTCCTGGGATTGAACCCTGCATCGGGCTCTCTGCTCATTGGGGAGCCTGTTTCCCTCTCTCTCTCTGCCTCTCTGCCTGCTTGTGATCTCTGTCTGTCAAATAAATAAATAAAATCTTAAAAAAAAAAAAGTAGCCATCTGTAAATGGGCATTGAAATTCTACCCCACATAGGTTGGTGCCTGTGGTAAAGGGAAATGTTTAATCCTGCCCCATGGCTTCCCCAAAAGAGGACGTAGAGGACTGCATTTTTTTTTTAAGGTTTTATTTAGTTATTTGACAGCAGAAGCAGGGGGAGAAGCCGGTTCCCCACTGAGTGTGGAGCCTGATGTGGGGCTCGATCCCAGGACCCTGAGATCATGACCTGAGCCAAAGGCAGACGGTTAACCGACTGAGCCACCCAGGTGCCCCTAGAGTACCACATTTTTTTAAGGTTTATCTCATTCCCTCTGGAAACACACAAGTGACAGCCCAGGTTCGAATTTATTAAGAGTTGCAGCTGCCCAAATGAATCTTGTGGGCAGAATGTGCTAGATTATGATACTCAGCTAAAAATTTCCATTGCTGTTGATGTTAATTTTAGCCAAGTCCAAATAGTGTTCCTAAGGAAGAGAATGGAGTCCATTCACTCAGTCATTGGCTTATTTTTGTTCAGAGCCAGATCAGTCAGCTTCTGTCTCTGGTTTCCTGGTTACCAGTGCCTATGGTGATAGCGTTGCAAGAGAGAAAGGGGAGGTCATAGAGAAAACCCTTGGCGCAAAATGAAAGCCATCAGTAAAACTGTCACTGTGTCACCAAAGGGCTGTTTGAAGTTGTTACAAATACCTGCCTACTTTGGTCTCCTCCTGCATCTCTAACAGATGGCGGTGGGGCTTACTGTGAGCAGAGAGTGATGGTTGAGAGCAAGGTCTTTGGGTGAGACTTGGCCTTGAGTCTCTGCCTCTGTCAGCTGTGACCCGAGGAGGGGAAGAGTGAGCTCTTGCCGGCTGTCTTCGGAGCAACAGTACGGCCGCATCTGGTATGTGGTGGAGTGCTCAGGCTATGACAGCTCTCGCTGTTAGGTATTTTCTGTACAGAAAGGAAGGGGGACTCGGCGTTTTATTTCCCTTATGCACTGATATTCATAGAATCATGTAGAGAAATGTACAGGTCAAAAGGAATGTAATGGTGCCTTTTTATTTTACAGGGTTCTAAAGTCAAAACCTTGAGATTAATAATGGCAGGAAAATCTTCGCTTTTTAAAGTAATTCTCCTTGGAGATGGTGGCGTTGGGAAGAGCTCTCTAATGAACAGATATGTGACCAATAAGTTTGATACCCAGCTCTTCCATACAATAGGTGTGGAATTTTTAAATAAAGATTTGGAGGTGGACGGACATTTTGTTACTATGCAGATTTGGGACACAGCCGGTCAAGAGCGATTCAGAAGCCTGAGGACGCCATTTTACAGAGGTTCTGACTGTTGCCTGCTCACTTTCAGTGTCGATGATTCCCAGAGCTTCCAGAACTTGAGTAACTGGAAGAAAGAGTTCATATATTACGCAGATGTGAAAGAGCCCGAAAGCTTTCCTTTCGTGATTTTAGGCAACAAGATCGACATAAGTGAACGTCAAGTGTCTACAGAAGAAGCCCAAGCCTGGTGCAGGGACAACGGCGACTATCCTTACTTTGAAACAAGCGCAAAAGATGCCACAAATGTCGCAGCGGCCTTTGAGGAAGCGGTTCGAAGAGTGCTTGCTACTGAGGATAGGTCAGATCACCTGATCCAGACAGACACGGTCAGTCTGCACCGAAAGCCCAAGCCTAGCTCGTCTTGCTGTTGACCGTTTGGAGAGGTTGCCTGTGTCATCTAACCAGCTCACACACATACACAGAAAAACACAGGGTGGAGAAGAGAATTGGCATTGCAGCAATGGATCATCTACTCATAAAATTAAACTAACCATATTGCTGTTTTGTTAGTGGGCGGGAGAAGGGACACATCCACTCATGGAAGAATCAATTTACTCAGTAGTGGCACCATACATTTATAAATTGTAATGGTTGTCTGTTAACGTTTAATTTAAATATGTACGTTACAGAGCTAATAAATGAGATGATCAGTACTTTAATTATAATTAAAACACTTGAATATTCTGGAAGTTACTGTTTGTTTTTTTCCTGGGAAAATGGAGAACTACTTTTTATATGTGTATATTTTTATGTAATTAGCATTCAGTTCCTGGTTGAGGGAAAAAAATTCCCGAAAGCAATATTGTTAAATAATAAAGATTAAAACCTAATGCATTTGCATTGTAGTTATTTGATTACTTCTTCATTCTCTTTAAAATTATTTAAGTGTTCACATTTTCATTCTCCATATCCAGAATTGCTCTCACTAGTAATCATTCGTGTGCTACATGTGGGGCCCCCGCCCCCAAAACAGAAGCCAACTTTATCACTCTTGGAGAAAATACAAAGGATTGTACTTCATGTGAGGATAAACGACATCTTTGTTAGGTCACATATGTAATGCCTTCCCTATCATTGAACACTGTTGAGTGATTTCTACTCAAGGAGATTTTGATAAAGCGATTTGTAGTCTTTCTGCGGGTAAAGTTCATATGCCCTGCATTTGTGCCTGTCCCATCCTGCAGAGGCAAACCAACCCGCTGAGGGTTGTCAGGATGTGCCGGTCGGGGTTAGCATGTCCTGCTCATGGGGAGTCACTGGAAAAGAATTGCAGTATCATTCAGTAAGCTAAGCTTTTGACAGTCTCATCTCCTAACAGAACAGTTTGGCTATATGCAAAACATTTGGACGTTTTGAATTATGGGGAAATTAAATCTCTTCATGTTCTCAGGTTAGAGGCAGTTGTTGTTTTTAGTATTTATAATCAATCCCCGCTCCCAAAACTGTAATCCTCCATCAAAAAAACTGAAATAGGAATCCATTAACAAATCGGTGTATATTATATATTCTTTCTTTTTTCTCTAGGGGATTTGCTTCCCGCCTTCCACCCCCGCAGTCTAAAGTGTCCCCATTGTTTTGCGACTTGCTGTTTCCTCTTAATATATGTGAACATACTTTATTACAGTATATCTACCTCATCAGCTTTACGGATGTTTACCAGTTTATTCAGACTGTTTTCTAGTGACAGACATCCAGCAGCACTATCTGAAAGTACTAATTTCCCACACCTTATTCAACAGTGGGTATTAGGAGTAAATTTTTTTTTTTAAGATTTTAAAAATTTATTTGACAGAGACAGAGGGAGCATAAGCAGGGGGAGTGGGAGAGGGAGAAGCAGGCCTCCCGCTGAGCAGGGAGCCTGATGTGGGACTGGATCCCAGGACCCTGGGATCGTGACCTGAGCTGAAGGCAGACGTTTAATGACTGAGCCACCCAGGCACCCCAGGAATACATTTTCTGGTTTTTTTTTTTTGAATAGATGAGTCACGTGAAGACTTAAGAGGGCACCTGGGTGGCTCAGTGGGTTAAGCCTCTGCCTTCGGCTCAGGTCATGATCTCAGGGTCCTGGGATGGAGCCCCGCATCAGGCTCTCTGCTCGGCAGGGAGCCTGCTTCCCCCCTCTCTGCCTGCTTGTGATCTCTGTCTATCAAATAAATAAATAAAATCTTAAAAAAAAAAACCAACATAAGACTTAAGAGACAGATATCTGTACCCTTGCCACCCAGTTCCTGTCCGTGAAGGCAGCATGTGTCTGTTTCTTGGGTATCAAGCTAGATATTTAGTATGTAAGGGAAGGATACTGTATTAGTTTGCTAGGGCTGCCATAACAAAATGCAGACTGGGTGGCTTAAACAGTGGGAATTTTTCTCACAGTTCTGGGGGCTGTATGTCCAAGATCAAGGTGTTGGTAGGTTTAGTTTGTCCTAAGGTCTCTCTCTCTCTGGCCTGCAGATGACTTTTACTCTGTGTGCAGCATGCCCCCCCACCCCCACCCATGCCACCATGTCTCTGTGTCCAAAATTCCTCCTCTCAAAAGGACACCAATCAGATTGGATTAGTGGGCTTGTTTTGACTTAATCACCTCTTTAGAGGCTCTGTCTCCAAATAGAGTCACATTCTGAGGGACTAGGGGCTAGGGCTATTAACATACGTATTTTGGGGGGGACACAATTCAGCCCATATTATGTATGTGTGTGTGTAGATATTTACATAATGTGTAGTTTTGATTCTTACATAGATTTAACTAATACTTTGGAGGTTTTTAAAAAATTTAGAAGCAGGGACACCTGGGTGGCTCAGTCAGTTCAGTGTCTGCCTTCGGCTCAGGTCACGATCCCGGGGTCCTGGGTTAGAGTCCCCCATCAGGCTCTCTGCTCAGCGGGAAGCCTGCTTCTCCCTCTCCGCCTGCTGTTACCCCTGCTTTGTGCTCTTTCTGACAAAATCTTAAAAAAAAACAACGTCCAAGTAGCTTTTCAGTAACTTTTTTTTCAGCCAATATTCAAGAAGTTCTAGAGCTGGGAAGCAAGAAATGGCCAAGGGAACAGATCATGTGTGTAAAGACAGGCTGGCGAGCAAGGAGAGTAATGCAGTGGAACACCGTGACTCAGAGGGATCCAGTGAGCGGGGCTGGCTGACCGAGCACAGGACTGAAATGGGACCACGGAGGAGGAACAAAACTGCCAGGAGCTGCGGCCTTCAAAGAGACTACAACGACCTGAGGGGGAAAGTTCTTCAACAAGCCGGGAGAGGTAGCTGCAGATCTGACTCTTGTTTTTAGGAAGTGAGAAGTCTTTTAGGAACAAAAACGTCTTTTGATTGGCTGGTGTTACCTAAAGAAAGATGAGAAATACCGAGAAAACAGGAGCTGGGGAAGAAAGCAGTCGGCGACGGAGGCTGCGGGGTTGGTGGAAGGAGCTGCAGAGCCCCCAGGAAGCCAGCGGGAGGACCGGTCTGCGTGCCCCTCAGTGTGGCGAGGGAAGGCCCCAGTGGTCCAGTTCCCGTGCTCGTCACACGGCGTCAGACCAGCTCTGTGACAGCGTGTGCTTCTGTGCTCTACTCCCGTGAAGCCTTCGAGATAGTTCAGTGCTACGGAAAAGGCGGACGACCGAACTTGGAGAATGGACAGTCGTACGTTTGCAGCCCGCGTGGCAAATAACAGCGCGCAGTGTGCAAGATGGAAGAGTACAGTCCCATCAGCGGGGGGATGTCTGTCACCTTGGGAAAATTCCCTAGTGGAAGTGAAAACGTCCTTAAAGAGAAAGCCTTGAGTTTTACATTTCTGTAGAAACGTGTGTAAGCTTTCCCTTGCGTATCATGACGCCGTGGACACCCGTGGCTTGGGGCCAGTGAGTTGGAAAAGTGGACCCGCGCACTGTCTGTGCGTTGTGCAAAGCCACCACTGTGGCCTGGCAACCAGAAAGGGCTGACTGAGTGAAACGTGAAAGAACACGGGTATAGGGGCGCCTGGGTGGCTCAGTGGGTTAAGCCACTGCCTTTGGCTCAGGTCATGATCTCAGGGTCTTGGGATCGAGCCCCGCATCGGACTCTCTGCTCAGCAGGGAGCCTGCTTCCTCCTCTCTCTCTGCCTGCCTCTCTGCCTGCTTGTGATCTCTGTCAAATAAATAAATAAAATCTTTAAAAAAAAAAAAAAGAACACGGGTATAGTGTGGGCAGAGCAGAAATCCATCCCCCTCTACGTACGAGGAAAACGTGGGCACCGGTGAAGCATCTAGGAAACGGAAGAGGACAGGATCAGAGCTGTGCGTCGTCTTTGGGTCCCTCTGGGTGTGTGAACATAGCCCTGACGTGGTGCTGACACACGTGTGCTCAGCGGGCCTCATGCCTGGGGTGCTCGTGCTCTTGTGTTCCTGAACCTGTGTGACGTCCCGTACAACCAGATCTAAGCTTTGCTGCCTTCTCCGCTTTCTTAAGTACCAGCCCCTGGTTCGTCCCCTCACACCTGTCCCCTCACACCGTGCTGTCTGTGTGCCCGGGGCAGCTTCTCCCGCACCGTCGCGGTCCACGTGCTCGTCCAGTGCAGCTCACGTCTGGCGTCCCATCCGCCCCCACACGTGGCAGTGGGCTGGCTTCACGCTCCTGCACACACACAGCTCGGTGCTGGACTGCAGTGACGTACTCACACGGGGCCTGCGGTCCTTGTTCCCGCTTCCCTCACGAGCTCAGGGTTTGCAGGGCGCCCGAAACCTCCTGCTGGTCTCCGCGCGGTCTGTTCACGGAGGGCAGAGCCGGCGGGATGCGGTAAGTACACACTGGGGTCTCTGCAGTGAGCACGGCTCAAACCACTCCTGGATTTCTAGCGGGGTATCTTCCCACTCCCAAAGCTCTGGTACCTAGTTTGAGGGCATCTGAGTTCTAGAAAATGGGTTAAGGTAATAGCTTGTAGACTCTCACTAGGGGGAATAGGACTAAAACAGTCGTGGTAGCAGGGTAAGCAACACTTTGAAAATTTGACCGAACTTCCATAATCTTGGACAAACATCTTTATTAAAGAAATCAAATAAATAGGGTAAAAAATTATGGTAGCGACTTCACACAGGGGATGAGACCAAACTTAGAACTACTTGCTCAAGTTACTCAGGATGGAAAAAAATTAAGTGCTCACAATTAGCACAGAAAATATCTGGTTATAACTTGTTTTTAAATGGACATTGACTAGTTTACAGTAAGATCCCACTGGTTACAGAGCACTCCCCACCCCCTTGGTGCACAGCCTAAAAAAGCTAAGAATGCAAATGTTAATGTAATAGAAACTTTTTACTATTATTACAACTTTTTACTATTATAACTGTCATCAAGTTCGCTTACTTTAGTTTACTGTCGGAGGGAAAGACAATATAAGAACATAACCTGTCACTTTGGTCCCAGCCTCCCATTTTACAAACATGGATTCTTGATTTATAGCAGAATCTCTGACAGAGACAGGCCTGCGGTGTTTGGCACCGCAAAAGCTGCTTGCTTTGGCCTCTTGTGGAGTGCTATGTATACTGCCCGCGCGGTTTTGTAACAGTAGAGATGTATACAAACCCACGCGCACGCTGTCAGCTTCATTCCCTACGGCAGAAACTTTTAAATCTGTCTACCAAAATCTGGACAATGACATTTAGTTCTGAATTGTGACATCAAGATCAAGCTGTCTGAATGAGTAAAGGCAAAAGCTCATCTTTAAGATTTAGAATAAAGATATTTTCAAGGTTATAAAGAGTTTATAAATAACACTGTTCACAAGCAAATATTGATAATCTGTTGATAATCGTTAAGAAACTGAATGTACTGTTTTGAAATAATACAAGGAATTTCATCAGGTTTAGAT